GCAAAGTACAAATTAACAACTTTACTATTATTATTATTATTATTATTATTATGAAAAATATGAGGCTGGGGAGGGAGTGGGGGCGAACGGGGGGGGAAACATTTAACAATTTTTTTTTTTTCCCGTCATACTTTCTTATCCCATCCTATTTTACTATTATTTTCCATTTTCTTAAAAAATTTTCGCCATTTTTTTCTTTTAAAAAAAAAATAAATATATTGGGGAGCAGATGGCAATACCTTAACTGTTATCGTACAACTAATGTTATCCATTTAAAAAAAAATCCGTTAAAAAATGATAATAATAATAATATTTAAATAATGAAAATTTAAGAAAAAAGCCCAACCAAACGATTCATAACCGCCATATTTAATAAAATCCTCTAATTTTTTTTTCCTTGTTTACGTACACGAAAAAAATTAATGAGTATCGTTAAAGTCGAAACAGAAGTACCAACATAATTATTTTTATTTACATTTTCCCGTCGCCAGGCTCGCCACACATTTGAAAAATTAAAAATTTTCTAGGTACTTACCAATCGCTATTATCATCGTCCTTGAATTTAAATCATCCTGAATTTTCCCATCAAAAAAAATAATTTCCCTAACATTTTCCTCAGTATTTTCTCCAGAATTTTCTTTAAAATTTTCCTCTGAAAAGTTAAAAAAAAAAATTAATTAATTAAAAACGATTAAGTAATTGACATAATTATCATCATTACTACTAATTTCTTCTCTCTTTTCCATCATCCACTCCCACCCCTTCCCCCCGTCGGAAAAAAGGGAAAAAAATTTCATTCCTTTTTTTTTTTAATGTTATTTAAAAGGTATTATTATTATTATTATTATCAGTACTTAAAATTATAAGATAAAATTTATTGTAACTCATTTTAAGTGATGGTGGTGGTGGTGGTGGTGGGGGTGGAAACATTGAATGAAAACTTGAAAAACAGTAAATCACGTCAGTCTGAGATTTTTTTTCTTTTCTTTTTTGTCCATTAGTACGTGTTAAGTCATAAAGAAGAAAATTTTTTTTTTTCCTTAACTGTCTGATGCAGAAAGTAAAAGATAAAAAATGATTAGAAAGAAGAAGAAGAAGGAGGAGGAGGAGAAAGAGGAGGAGGAGGAGAAAGAGGAGGAGGAAAAGGAGGAGGAGGAAAAGGAGGAGGAGGAAAAGAAGGAGGAAAAGAAGGAGGAAAAGAAGGAGGAAAAGAAGGAGGAAAAGAGGAGAAGGAGGAGGAGAAAGAGAAGAAGAAGAAAGAGGAAAATAGTCGATGGGAAAATGAAAATGAAAAGAAAAGAAAAACCCCAAAAAAAAAAATTGTATTGTTCGAACGGTTTTTATAGTTTTTTTTTTTTTTTTTTAAGTAATTCCGAACGTTTCGGTTCGAAAAACAAAGTTTTTGTTTTTGTTTTGTTTCGGTTTTTCTTTTTTCTTTTTGTTATAATGATTAATTGTTTGCTTTAAAAAAAAAATGTTGCGAAAAAAAAAAAAAGAGATTTTTTGTTTGTTTTTGTTTGTTGTTGTTGCCGTTTTGTTTTTATTATTTATTTACTCTAAGCATTCGAAAAAAAAAAAAAAAGTTTCGAAACATTTCACACGTTCGGATTAAGTTTATAAACAATAAAAATTGAATTTAATTATTTTAATTAAAAAATCACGTGGGTGAATTTCAAAATAACGTTTACACGTTCGATTTATTTTCGAGAATCGAATCGAATCGAAATGACAAAAAAAAATTAACGTTTATTCAGGTTTCGATGCCTGGTGGAAAACGTTAAAAAAAAAAAAAATCCGAGTTTCCGCCGGAAATGTATTTACATTAAAAATCTTATAAATAAATAAGGGTAATTAAGAAAAGATTTATTTAAAAATAATTATGCGGATTCCTTTCCGACAGTTTCTAATAAATTAACGGTTAAAGAATGAAAAACGTTTGGAAAAGTCATTCCTGTAAATTCCTAACATTAAAAAAAAAAACAAAGAAAAAAGAAAAACCGGAACCGGAAGTAAATTCGTTACTTAGAAAAAAATGTCTTAAGAAAAAGAAAAATTTCGTTTAATTAATTGTTAAATTGTTCATGATAATGATACTGATGGTAATGATGATGATGATGATGACGATGATGATGACGATGATGATGACGATGATGATGATGATCAATATAATTTTATTTATTTATTTATTTTCAATTTACGATTTGATTTTTTTCGAGCGTAAAAATTACTTAATAACGATTATTATTTTTATCATCATCATCATCATCACGATTATTATAAACAAATAGAGGGAAGAGGTGGGGGGGGGGGGTAAAGGAAGAAAGTATATTTAAAAAGTCAGCAAAAAAAAAAGGTTTTTACGATTAGCAAAGCAAAAAAACAATAATTAGAAAATATTGCCGATGTGTAGCGTAAAAAATGTTTTTTTTTTTTTTTTTTTGCCGGAAAAGAGAGAAAATTCTAGAAACCTTTTTTTACTGACCCAGAAAAAATGCATTTGCGTACCTGGCTAGCTATTCACCGTCGGGAAATAATATTGAGGATAAAGACATTATTATTATCCTTTACAATTTCTTGATGTGTTTATTTCCGTTGTAAAGAACAAAACGTTTCCTGGAGTTTAATCCTGAAATTGTGCTGCATTCCACTCCGGAACCTGAGCCTTCCTAATGAAACCTGAATATTTTACTCTTAGACGAACTGAAATTAGATTCCAACTTTCAAGGTTATGTCTTATCAGTAAACGGAGAGGTTTATCTCTCTCCCAAGAGTTTAAGACACAAATTACAGAACCTTTTTAAACATTCGACGTACCTGGCATCCGAGTAGTTTTATTTAGGTACAGCAGTAGATATTTCAATTTAAAATAATAATAATAATCAAATTTTTCTTGTTTGGTCTTTTTAATTAAAAGCTCAATTAAAAACGAATTATTTGTTTTCTCTTTTTTACGTTGCGGTTGAAACGGACATACGTGTAAATATGCTAAACCTTTTCTTTTTTCTCCATGAATAGTTTTGGTTTTTTAATTAAATCTTTTCCTATAAAAAAAAAAAAAAAAAAAAATTTATTATTATTTTTCCTTCGTTTATTGCGGTTTTTTAAAATGGCGGACTATAATTTTACACATTAATATTATTATTTGAAATTTTTATATATATTTTATTCACGATACAGTTTTAATTAAAATAATAATTATTATTATTAATGATTTTTTTTATTCGGTTCGTTATGTCGAGTTTAATTTTATTAATACGATTTTTAAAAAAACAAAAACTTACTGCGAAAGTTATTTCAATGAAAACTCATAACCGTTATGATGATATACGACGCCATATTTGATTTTTACACATTTGACAGATAATTTTATGTTTTATCATTATGAAATGCTGAATTTGCGTTTTATGGAATAGAGATGAAATAATATACAAAATAAACATTAACGCTCGATATATAATAATAATAATTGACGTTAGTTATAAAGTAATTATTATTATTTTTGACATGAGTTTAAATTTCAATAAAGTTATTTGCTATTTTCAACTTTGACAAGAAACTTTCTAAAAAAAAAAAAAAAAATTTTATTTAGTTATTTTCGATAATAATAATGATAATTAATTAATAATAATAATAATAATAAAATTTTACTTATTAGATTATTTTTCATATAAAAAAATTTTCCATTCAAACTTTATTTTGAAATAATAATTAATTAAATATTTTCACAAACAAAAAATAATAATCAACATGAGAAGGCGCATAATATAAAACCACCGCCTTGTTTAATTAAATTTTTTTATTAAGCGTTTTTTATCATTGCCTCCTTGAAAATATTAGTAAAAAAAAGTAATAAATTTAATAAAAAATAAATTAATTAAATTAAATAAATTAGATTATAAAGAAAATGATAAAGTTTTTTATTATTAGAATAAAACTTTACGATTTTCTTTATTTTATTAATAAAAAATAGAATAAAAAAATAATTAATTGTTCAAGGACGGATTATATCACGGAGGCTTTTCATCAATGTCTACTGCTCATTTTAAAATGGCTTTCCTTAGTAGAAATATTTCTGTTTTATTTAGTTCGGTACGTAAATAAATATTAATTTTTTATTTTTCACGTAATAACCGTACCTGAAAATTTTTAAAATTTAACGATATATTTCCCGAATTCAACTTTCGCCCCACCGTACCCTGTCATATCCTTATAATTAATTTTTTAACGAACAGTACACGTTATGCCTTAAAGACATGTTAACGTATTGTTAAATTTATCGAATTTTAACAAAAAAAAAAAAATTTTTTTTCCTTGTTTATTTTGACGTTTCAGGTATCACGTCATAATGGCGTAAAATATTTGAGTCAATCGGCCGTTTCAAAAGCAGCATTGGTACGATTAAATCCATTTAAGCGATTTTACCTTTATATTTTTTTCAATAACGTAATTATCATTATTATTTTTTTTTGTTCCCAAAGGAAGAAAACAGAACGAAATGTACTCTCATACCAGGAGATGGAGTCGGACCTGAATTGATGAATTCTGTTTTAGACATCTTTGATGCTGCTAGTATTCCTGTCGATTTTGAAAATTATTATTTATCGGAAATAAATCACAGAATGAGTGCTCCTCTAGTAGATGTCATGAATTCGATTAATAGAAATGGCATTTGTTTAAAAGTTACTATTATTATTATTATTATTATTATTATTATTTTACATTTTGTATATTAATTGGAGAAAAAAAAAAAAAAAAAAAAAAAAAATTTTTCATTTTTTCATCTTGTTTATGAATGATTTTATACGCAGGGAGTTTTAGCCACTCCTGATCATAGTCACACTGGAGAACTTGAAACTCTAAATATGAAATTAAGAAGATCATTAGATTTATATGCTAATGTTGTCCATATAAAAAGTTTACCTGGAATAAAAGCCAAACATGAAAATATCGATTCAATCGTTATCAGAGAACAAACAGAGGGTGAATACTCTGCATTAGAACATGAAAGCGTACCGGTAAGAGTTATAACATGTCATTTACCATTTGAAAACTTTATAAATGTCGCCTAATAACGTTTATTTTTATTTAGGGTGTTGTAGAATGTTTAAAAATAATAACGGAAGGTAAATCTAGAAGGATAGCCAAATTTGCTTTTGACTACGCAACCAAAATGAATAGGAAAAAAGTTACAGCAATTCACAAAGCTAACATAATGAAATTAGGAGATGGATTATTTCTTAAAAGCTGCGAAGAAGTATTATCATTATTAATAATCATTTATCCATTTGAATTAACAAAAAGTTTTTTATTTAAAAAAATTAAATTTTTTTCTTTCAGATGTCAAAATTATATCCTAAAATTGAATTTGAAAAAATGATTGTCGATAATACTACAATGCAAATGGTATCGAATCCTCATCAATTTGATGTCATGGTTGCTCCTAATTTATACGGAAGTATTATCGATAACGTTGGAAGTGGTTTGGTTGGAGGTGCTGGTGTTGTCGCGGGTGCAAGTTACAGTGCCGAATGCGTCGTTTTCGAACCTGTACGATTTATTCGAACCCATTCTAATGACGGTCAAGTTCATTGTTTAATAAAAATCGTTTCGTTGTTTTTTTTTTTTAGGGTGCGAGGCACACGTTCGCAGAAGCTGTCGGGAAAAACGTTGCCAATCCTACCGCGATGCTTTTATGCGCCGCCAAAATGCTCAATCACGTAAATCTACCCCAATATGCTAACATGATAAGAAAAGCTCTTACTAAAGTACTCGTCGATGGTAAAGTTAAAACGAAAGATATGGGAGGACAAGCCACGACCAATGAATTCGTATGCGCCATTATTAACAATTTATCAAACGAATAAATTTCACACACACACACGCCCCCATCCGACCCCTTCTCCTTCCCTCCTCCTCCTCCTCCTCCCCCCCGCAAAAGAAAAAGATTTTTCCGGACGTTACCTCCGCCCCCCGCCCCCCGCAGTGTAATTTTTGCTGTTGTTGTTGTTGCTGTTGTGAAATTCAGTATTTGTATTGAAAAATCAGTATTTTAAACAACGGTAAAAAAAATTCCGGAAATTATTATTATTATCAGGTATAATTTTAAAATATGTCGGAAAATGTTTATTCGTTTTAACCGTTAAAAAAATTTTAAATTGTTAATATTGTCAAACAAACAAAAGTTACCTCGTACGATTTGTAAGTAAAATAATAATAATAATAATAATAATAAAATTGTTATTGTTTGTTATACGAAATTTTTCCTCATTTATTTCCTATAATATAATCCTATGTAATTTGAATTGTAAGGGATGCTGCGTTGAGAATAAGAGAGAATCTGTGAATAATCTTAAAATATTTTATCCCTGGATAAATTTTCTCATTTAAATAATTTTATACTCGAGAAAGAAATCGTTTCGATTTTGATAAGAAAAAGAAACACCGATCGATAACAAACAAACAAACAAACAAACAAACTCCTTCTTAATTGTTAAGACAACAACAACAACAACAAACAAATTTTTAAATTTAAAAAAAAATCCTAATTTTACTATTAACCTAACCTAATATCCGGGAAACGGCAAAGGTGACAACAAACAAACACACAAACAACAAACAACAACATACACGTGAAAACGTATCAATCCTCAATGACCTTTAACCTTATTATTATCATCGATAATAAAATAAATATTAAATTACCCTTACCGTTGATGAAGCAAAAAAAAATAATAATAAAAAATATGCATTTTTATTTTTTATTTTTTTTTTTCGATTGTGTTTCCTTTGTCGGTTCCGGAATGGGTATGGATGTTCTCACTTTGTGTTCATCACTTCTTTCACCTGGATATTTAGGTTGTGACATTAGAGTTAACCACGGTTCGAAATCTTTTATCTTTTTCTTAGGTCCCCGATCCTTAAAAAAAAAACGAAAAAGGGGGGGAGATTAATAATAAAAAATTTTTTTTTTTTTTCTTCATCTTCCCTTGGAGAAAAATTTTTTCAATTCATCAATTACCGGTCCTTTATCTGGAACAATCGGTTTTTTCGGTGCTCCCATTTGTTTCATTCTCTTACGGAATGTTTTCCTTTGATTTTTATTTAATTCGCATATGCAACGAACTCGTTTTCCACCCTTTTGTTGAGTTTTACCCGTGCACGAAGCGTGGACCAAAGATCCACCGTTGAGGACGTATATGGTATCCGATTCTGGAGGATAATTTGCTTTGAACGTGTCGTAATGTTCTTTTATGTAACGATTAATTGCATTTTTTTGATTCGTGTTTAAACGTGAAAAATATCGCCTTTTCGTTTCGTTTAATATACTGAAATCATAATAAATAATAATTAATAATAATAATAATAATAAATTTAATTTGTTAGGATGAAACAATTCAATAAAAATAAAATAGATTTTCCAGAAATGGAACACAAAAATGAAGCAAACCGGATATAAGTAAAAAATATACGTTGGTTTGATGTTTCTGTGGCAGACATTTTGTTTTCTTTTTGGGAAAATTATTTAAAAAAATATTTACGTTAGTCTAGCAAGTGCCATAGTTTCTATTCTTGGAGTTATTTTAGCTTTGAGTGCAGCTTTCGAAACGACACTCGGAGGAATTGGTATCGTTTTTTTATATAACCATTTTAATTCTTCTTTCGTCATTTGTTCTTCCAGTTCTTTTTTATACTCTTTTTCCGCTTTTGTCACGTAGTGAACTTTCGGAAGTTGAACTTTTGCAACGGCTAATTTTTCCGTGTGCGGACTACATTTGGCTTTTAAAGCCGGTATGGATAAACCGTAGGGCGACTGGAAAAAAAAAAAAATTTTTATTATTATTATTATTTCCACGTATTTCAAAATACGATTACAGCAATTGAAAACATACCTTTTTAGGTAATGGAGGATTATCAATTGTAGGTATTTTATATTCTTTCGGTACTGCTAACCACGAATCTTTTACTTTTTGCCTTTCTAAAGGTGATAATGCACAACGATCGACGACCTTATACGGTACTTTGTGATTATCACCGTCCATTTTTTATTATTTGTTTTCAATTAAAAAAAAAAAATAAATTATTTTATTTCCCTTTTCTGATGATGATGATGATGACTTTTTACGCTTTTTCTAGATGTTGATTAAGCTTCTTTTTTTTTATATACATATATATATATATATTATTAAAACATTTAATAATTTAGATTCATTTTCTGGAAAATTTAAAATAACACAAAAAAAAAATTAAGTAAATAAAAAAAATTGTCAATTGTTTAAGAAAAAAAAAATTTTTTTTTTTTTTTTTATTTTTTTTTTAATTTTCAATTACTTACTTTTTTATTTTGTTGGCAGACCTGTTTAAAAAAAATAATTTTATTTTTATTATTATTATCATCGGCACCGTGTTGTGAAAATTTTGTTTTTTTTTTATCTAAAATAATTTTTCGTTTCTTTTACAAGATGTACCATCGAAGAATTTTTCTGGATAGTTTTTGCATCTCTTGATGATGATTGTGTTCTTTTACAAATGAGACATTTTACATCGTTTTAAAATAAATTTACTAAATAAAAAAAAACGCTTGCTGAGACAACCATAAATAATATCGGTATTAAAATCTAAATGGTATTAATAATAATAATAATAATAATAGTGGAAATAAACGACAGATTCCATGTTGGAAAATTTTTTTTTCCCTCTCCTCCTCCTTCTTCTTCTTCCTGAAATCAAATAAAATTTGTCAATCCGAATTTATTTTATATGTTTGTTTTTTTTCAATTTGTAGGTTTTTAAATAATGATAATAATAGTAATAATAATAATGATTGAACACGTGAAAACTCACATGAGATATTAATAAACTTATCGCAATCGTCGCATTAACACACAAACTAATTGATAACACGAGCACGTGAGAAAAACTAATAAAAATTTCATTGTTTTATTATTATTATTATTATTATTATTATTATTATTATTATTATTATTATTATTATTATTATTATTTTCTTTAAAGACTTTTAATTCTTCTTTCGTCATTTGTTCTTCCAGTTCTTTTTTATATTCCTTTTCCGCTTTTGTCTTTTGATCGGTTCTACTTCCTTTTATATTTTGCATTAATCTAAAAATTTAAAACAAAAAAAAAAAAAACTATTTTATGGTTTTATGTAAAACGTTAGTTAGCCAACACAACCGAAAAAAAAAAAAAAACCGTTAAAAAATTCGTTATAAAATTTAAATCAACCTGTTTGTTTTATATTTTAACGTACAAACCTGTTTGTTTTATATTTTAATTATTACATAATTTTTAATACAACAAACGATTTTTATTGTTGTTTGTTATCGTTTATCCGTTTTTTTTTTTTTTTTATATTTTTATTTTCCGTTATTTTTTCATCCATTTTGTATAAGAAAAATAAAATTTACATTTTGAATATTGAAATGGATTTTTATTTTAACTTTCGTGAATTGTCCAAATATCCTTTTTTTTAAAAATGTATTCGAAAGGTTTTCCTTTTTCCTTTTTGTTTTTTTTCCTAAAAGAAAAGTTTTAATTAGTAACAATTTCAAAAAAATCATAAGTTTTTTTTTTTTTTTTTGTGATCATTCGAAATCATTCGAAATTTGTTTTTAACGGAAAAAAAAAAAAGTTTGACATATTTATTTTTATCAAAACGTACTAGAAATAGTATGCTAGATAACGACGATAATAAAAAATGACTAATAAATATTTTTATATATAAATTCTTTTATAAAAAAAAAGCAAAAAAAAAGAACACAAAATTTCAAACGTTATAATTTTCACGTCGACCGTTAGAGGTTTTGCGACTCGTGTACGTAGAAAAAAAGCATAAAACGACAAAATTCAAATTGTTTAATTGAAAAAGGGTTTTACACGCATACGGATCACGCGCTCTTATAAGCCCTTCTTCCATTAAATCATTAAAAAAACTTATCATTACAAAAAATAATCATGGCCGGTGTAGTGCCTTTTCCAGGCAGTACACCTGGTAGAAAACAATGGATTATTAAAGGTAAATAATTTACAAATTAATTAATATTACAATCGAAAACGATAAATCGATTTGTTATTCGATAAAACCGATATCGATTTATCGTTTTTTTTTATTTTTTAATTATTCTTTTCGATGGGTTAAACATCAAATGATTGTAAAAACTAATAATAATAATAATAATTTTTCATTAAACATAAAAAAAAAAAAAAAAAGTTAAAAAATTAACTCGCCGATTTTTTCGCCGATACAGTTTGTTTTTCTTATTGTCTTGCTTCTTCTTTATTTTCTTCTTACTATTTACATATCATCATTAAATTATTATCATTATTATTAATTTTGTTGTCATCCTTTTCATGTTGTTTTAAATTATTATTATTACTTCGATTGCAATCAATTTATTATCAATTATCTGAAACAATACAAAAAAATTTATATTAATTATTATTATTATTATTATTAATAAATAAAAAATGATTTCAGATAAAAAATCTAGTAGGAAAATAAGAAGCGAATTAGCAGAAGATGGTTGTCCTGAATCTCAAGTTGTTTTGGCAAAACAATTATTACGAGAAAAAAATTGTGAGATTTGTTTTTGATTTTTTTTCGAACACACCAATTCCCTTATTGCAATCGATTTAAAACTTTGAGTTGTTAATGAGAATTTGAAATTTTCAATTAAAGTTATCAGTATCAATGATAATGAAGAAAATGCAAAACTTGGAGTTTTTTGGCTCATCAAAGCATCAGAACAGGGTAATTTGGAAGCGACTAATATACTACGACAGTGTTTAGAAACCGGTGAAGGCATCACAGAATACAATTATGAAACTGTTAAAGCATGTTTGACGACACCACAAAATGAAAAACTAGCAAAAAGAGCTGCCAAAGAAATGTTTATAAGGTAAAATTTGATATTTTATTCATTTTTACTCTCATATAATAATAACGTCATATTTTATTTTATCAGTTTATCAGACGGCCAAGATTTCATAACATCGAAACAGTTAAGAAAACAAATGAGAAAAATTTATTTTAATGATTTAGCATCCGCTTCGACGAGTAAAGAAGGAAATCAAAATTTTCAAAATGATATATTAGAAAATGAAAAAGATGATGATTTAATTAATAAAGGAGAAGTCAATGTTAAAAATGATGTGATTGGTGATGATGATGATGATGATTTTATGGATAGCAAAGAAATTTTAGGTATTAAAATTATAAACAAGTGAAAAAAAAAAAAAAATGAAAAATGACTTACCAACTATTGAAATAGTTCTCTCGACTGTGTTATCAATTATTTATCACTTCAATCCGTTCCAGGTTGTGTTGAAAAAAATGAAAAAAAATTCTATGAAAAACTAACGGAAAATCATTTGAAGAATGCAGCATTTCATTATTCGAAAGGTGAATTGCCATTGGTCGAAGGTGTTTTCGCATTAACAGAATACAACAATAAAAATATTGATAATTTAAATTGCTTGCAAAGAACGTTTTTATACCCTTTTATAAGAGTTCAAAGGGCACATTTAAAATTACTTAATAATTTTAGTTTACGATATAGAACAAATTATTTTTCAATATTTTCAACTTCCGTTTCCTTACAATTTTTAATACTTTTCCTATTGTATCCGTTATTGACGATAGATAATTTAGTTTTGTTTCTTCCAATGTGCATATATTACATTTCGTTTTTCTACATGGTCGTGTCGACTCTTCAAATGCTTCAATCTCAGAAAGAATACGCGGATTTCAGAGTGTGGTCTCGTTTGTTTTTAAGGTACGATAGAGATGGAAATTTAAATACGGACGATCCTGAATTTGAATTTTGTAAAAAAAACATGAGGCCCTACGGTTTGTTTTTCTTTAGTCTGCTCATCAATTTAATCGTGTATCCTTTCATTTCCGAACTCTGGATACCTCAAAGCGAATTGGCAACCATATCTTTCGCATTTACTTTTCTCACCCTCTACATTTTCCACGGGAAATCCTCGAAAAAAATCGATTATTATTTATTATTATTTTCATTTGCATTGTACGTTCTTGCTAAATACCCATACGAAACGGATGGTGTCGTACGACAAACGTGGAGGTTTTTAGACATCGAACTTCCCACACTTCAAGATTATGGTTTCTCTTGTTTTGTCAGTCAAATCGTCGGCACCGGAGTCGAATTCTGTTTAAACTTCCGAGGTTTTTTTTATCTATTGATACCGGGTATTTTTTTTAAAATTGCTTCCCGAGACAATTGGAGAGGAATATATAAATTATTGATACCTCATTGCGTGACGCTGTCTTGGTGGCAAGTTAGTATTATTATTTCCAAATCCTGAAAGATAAAAACGTTCGTCTTATGTTATAAATCATATATACCCGTTTGTGTTTCAGATAGCTGTGATATCATGTCAGGGTGCTACCTGGTACGGACTTTTGAGATCAACATTAGCATTGGTCGGTTTGATATTTTTCCTTCCGCTTGCTGGAATCGCAACCGTTCTACTTCCGGTGGTTGCTTTCGTTAAACATTTTGCTTATTCTGCATGGTCTTCCAGACATGGAATCGCCGTGACGGCCATAATCGTTACTTTTCTCATATACGTTTACAAACGGCAATTGGGTTTACGAAGCGGATTCATCAAAGCTCAGGTACGGGATTATCAAACGTACGAAATCCTTTTTTTTTTTTTTTGGTTTCGACTCGAACCTATTTTTTCTTCATTCCGTAGATTTTGATCGCCGTCATTTCTTCCGGTTTATTATTGTCTTCCCCGTTGAATGGTTTATTCGACGAAACCATTTCCACGACCGACATTCAACCGCAACCGACGCTAAGTTGGGATCAATATTCGTCGATTTGTCAAAAGAGTTCTTGGGATAAAAGAATGGATGCTGCGATACAGGAGGATTGCATCGGATTAAACGGTTTGAAAATTCATTGGTACGGAATCGTCGACAACGTCCGAATTATAAAAGTTCAAAATAATTTTTTAAAGGCAAGGCAGAAAGAAAAAAATAAAAGATTTTTTTTTTTTTCTGGATAAAATTCGATTGAAAGTTAAGATTTTCCCTCTTTTTTTTTGTTTCCAGTTGTTAAATCTCGTACCGGAACCATTTAAAAATAAAATAAAATGTTATTATGGAGAACCTTACGAATCCAATTGTTCGAACGATGTTATGAAAAATGACGAAAACAAAGAAAAACTTTGTAACATTTTAAATAAAATCAATGCGAAGGGAAAATGTCATTTAAATTCGTGGAACAGGTAATTATATATATATATATATATACACTTATTTTTTTAAACATTCCGATTGTCTCGATCGATCTATCGTTCGTTTGTTTAAGGTACGATTTGGAAATAACGGTCAAAATAAATTCGGACACGTGGAACAGCATGGAATCGAAAATAAAATTAATCGTCGACGACAGCATGAAAAATTACACGTTGAAACTCGATGGAAACGATCAAATATGGTTCAGAGGGATTTTAAATAATCCTGAAACGATTGGAACGGAAAATTTGTCCATCGTCGTTGACGAAATCGGTTGCATAAATTGCTCTAATAAAAATATAAAAACGATAAAAAAATTAACGGATAAATTGACGGGTAAAAATTTCCCGAAAGAAATATATAACGGTTTTAAAAGGATATTAAATTTCGTTTTTAATCCCGTTATCAACATACGATGATGAGAAAAATGATAATGATAATTTTTTTTTTTTTTTTTATTACGTCACTCATAATTGTATACGTCATCGCATTAATCCCACGTGTTTTTTTTTTTTTTTAAATATTTATATAAGAATAAAATAAAAATAATTTCATTTGTATAAAGTAAATAAATTTTTTTTTTTTGTCTATTACACGCCCGTGTAAATTTTTTTTGAATTGTTTTCAAACATGTCGTCGTCACACGATTTGTGTTTCGATGGTGTCCCCCTTTTTTCCCGAATAAAATCAGAACAACGTATACATGAGTTTGATATATAAAGAATGAAAAGAAGAGAAAATATATTATTTTCCTACCTTATTTACCTTGATAATTTAGCCGTTTTGCTGTCGATTT